CCTGCTCGTGATCCCACCCACGTCGCAAGCGCGCTTGGTGGGGACACGGGACAGGGCCTTTTCTGTGGCGGCCCCCCGACTTTGGAACGCCCTTCCAAAAGATCTTCGACAGGCCCCTACTTTAGCAGCTTTCAGAAAGAACCTAAAAACGTGGCTGTTCCGATGTGCCCTCTCAGATTAGGAATTCCCCATCCCAAGTCCTAGAAGCACTTTAGTACAATTAATATTGCTGCACACCGCACTATTTTTAACCCTACGTGCCTCCTGCCATTTCAGCACTTTTAACCCTGTACCCCATTGCTCTGGCCGGCCCAGTTTTAAAGTGTCCTGATGTATTGTCACTGTTGTTGTTATTCTGCTTAACTATTTTGATTTGCTTTGTTTTTGCTGTTGTGTTATGTTTTGCTGTATTGGTGTTTCTGAGGCTTCGGCCTGTGTAAGCCGCATCGAGTCCTGCGGGAGATGCTAGCGGGGTACAAATAAAGTTAATAAATAATAATAAATAAATAAATACACAGAGGCTATTTAACTTTTTCTGGCCGCCAGGGGAGCTGTCGCTTTCATCGTCCATCTGCGACGCTGATTAAGCACTTCCGCATTCCCCGCATGCTTCCCCGCTGGAATGCTTTGCTGGAGTCTTCTTTATGGCCTCATAAATCAGTTAATTTAGCCTCCCCACACTGTAAGGTGGTACCTTATTTTCCTACTTGACAGATGCAACTGTCTTTCGGGTTGCAAAGGTCGACAACAGGCTACACACAATTGGTTGGAAATCCACTCCAACCCGGGCTGGCTTCGAATTCATGACCTTTTGGTCAGTGATCTTAATGCAGCTGACACTCAGCCAGCTGCGCCACAATCCCGGTAGTTGAATCCATAGAGGGCAGTAGAAGAAACAGTTCAATTTAGAAACAGTTCAGTTTTTTGTCTGAAAAATACCCCAGCTCATGGAATTTAAAATATTCTGAATACAAGAATACAAGCACTAAAAATGAAGCAGGGAGGGGAGGAATCTGATTAAAATAACCTAATTGAAAAACCTGTTTGGGTTTTTTTAAAAAAACTATGTAACGGCCTCCAAATGTATTTGCATGGGTCAGAATCCAGTTAGTGCTTTATGCTGGTGTAAAATACCACTGAAGAAGCAGCCGTATTGCTCAGAACATTATGCAAAAGCAATCCCTTGTTCAGGCAAGCTGTCAACAACTGCATATGTCCCTGCAAGTGTCTGCCAAATTCTAAGCAATGGTATGATCCAGTATAACCCCTTTGCAGCTTTGCTAATGTAATTTTACACTATGCAGCTGGCAAATAAGTGCTCAACCAGAGTCTCTGATGCACTGTGAGAGAATATCACTTGTTTCTGATGTGGAGAAGTCCTCATACATGCAGGGGCTGTAATACTTTAGGTTTAACATTTAGTCTTTCTTTCTTTACTTGCTGTCTTACCATCCTGCTTTTCAGACACTTTATGACTCCACAGCACCACAAATTAATTGGGAGGAAATGAAAGAACCCTGCCATCCGGCTTTCACATTAAAAAGGATATAACTGAGTTTAGAATCTAAGCTCAAGCATGGAAGGGATCACAAGGGCCATACAGTCAAGCCCCCAATCAGAGCAGGTATCCGCTGTTAAAATACCCCTGAGATGTGGACATTCAACCTTTGTTTAAAAGCTCCAGTGGATGAGACTCCTTTATCCTCTGAGGTTGTCTGTTCCACTATTGAACGGTTCTTACCATCAGGAATTTACAATTTCAATTTAGTGGTTCATACTCCATCCTCCAGAGCAGAAGAAATTGGATGTGCTTCAGTTTCGTACAAGTGCCATACAGTTGGCCTTCCACATATCCTACCAGTTGTTAGAAATTGTGGGAGTTGAAGTCCAAAATACCTGGAGGGCTCAAATTTGCCCATGCCTGGTATAAAGTGTCCCAATAGTTCTGTGAAGTTCTGGCTGCCAACAGAAGCAACAAAGTGCTTCCTCTTTATTCTCCACTACCAAGGCAGGAAGAGAGGCATTGAATTCAACCAAATTATGTGTTCAAATCAGCCCTCTGAGAAAAGACCAGATCTTTAGGCATGTTTAAAATAGCTCTCTAATACCACTATTTGCAAAAGGTTTTGAAAACTGACATAGGATAGTTGGTTTGTCTCCATCTGGTTCAAAAGGGAATGTATCTCATAATTATGTAGAATTCCCAATGAGACATGGACAAGAGATGCTCTTAAGAGCCTTCTTCTGTGAGAGCAATGACGTGCATAGCTTCAGCCACAGTTCTTATTAAAATAAACCCATGTTCTTCAGATACAGGAATTATATATATATATATGAAATGACGTGGATAGGGGGAATCA